TTTGGAGTACTTTCTATAAGGTTTTCCAAATTCGAACTGCAGTGAAGATTTCCAAAACACTGCTAGTATCTAAATTTTATTTCAATAATAAAGCTGGTAAAATTGGTGTTTGTCTCACCTGGGGCTGATAATTGTCAGGCTTACAATATCAACACGTTGAATGAAGTTCAGCTTAATACAATCAAAGACCTCAGTGATTTGGGATTAGTCAAACTTCAGCAGGTTTGTTTATCTGCGTTTCCAAAGCATAGTTTAGGTATTACATGCTCCAGTGATTTGATATACATGTGATTTTTCAGGGAAGGAAAGAAAGTTGGTTCCTTCCAACAAAGTTGGCTACCACTCTTTCAGTCAGCCTATCAGATACAGCAACTAGGAAGCAGGTATCTTGCTGAAACTTAACTGTAGAGTTTGGCCCCTCACCCCTCTTTGGACATAGATGCTTAATATTTTTCATCTTAAACTATTGATAATCTGTACCTCCATAATGTCCATTCCCAAAATCCCAACCTCTGAATTTTTTGTTCCATGGTCAATCTGATGGTTGTTAATCTTACTTTATTTTTAGTTCTATTATTTTATTTATTTTATTTCATCATCTCAATTAATTTATTTCTTCAATTATTCTTATTTCCCTAGGTGCTGATCTATGTTCCTTCAAAACAAAGACTTCACCTTTGGCCTACTAGTTAGCTTTAATGAGTTTTCTTTTTCCAGGGTTATGTGGTTGTGGAGACAAATTTCAGGATGTATGCCTATTCTACGTCTAAATTACATTGTGAGATTATGCGTCTTTTTGCAAGGTACTTGCAGTATGTTTTTGAAAAACAGTTCTCCCTTTTCTGTTAATTGTTCCAGGCTGCTAGGGCCCACTGTCTAGTGGTTAGCAATTATGTTCCTAATGAACTTAAATATTCACAAATTGTTGTAGTGGTCCAATTTGTTCTCTGGCTGTCGATGATATCAGCTCTTGTGCTTGCCTTTTGATATTTTACATGGTGGATTTGTTCTTTGGCTATCAATGATAAGCTCATGTGCTGGCCTTTTGATATTTTACATGGTTGTTGATATTGACCTTAAGATATGTCTTGTTAGAGTTGTTACTTTACCATTATTCTGAAAATTGCTTGCTTATATAGATAGATTGGATTCTTTGCTCTAATCTCAGCAAATATACTTCATTTTTGCAGGATAGAATACCAACTTCCTAATCTGATTGTGGGGGCGATAACTAAAGAAAGCTTGTATAATGCCTTTGAAAATGGCATTACATCAGAACAGGCAATGATTCTTTCATCATGATTTCTCTTTGGTTGAATTCCTTTGCTTTGCTTAACAAGTGTATAAAACTCCAAAATTTGCAATTTAGCCATTTTGTTTCTTTATAAAAGATTTGGCTTGGTCCAACAGAATCTTGTAAAGATTGGATACAAATGTTTGGTATTGTTACAGCCTGAGTTGTGCGCCTGAAACCTCCAAGCTACAGTAAGCAATCTCGGGAAGCTACTCTTTAAACCCCTTTGTCAACTTTTTGTGCCTTCGAAGGAGGGTGCTGGGAAAAAAAAATGCATCTTGGATTTTCCTAATGGGGTTTTAGAAAGCAGCACTTAAGGTTTTCAGCAAAACCTTCCTCCGTTTTTTTCTAGTTGCATCACTTTAGTTTTCACGGACTTCTAGTCAATTTTTGGAATAGAGAGAGGTAGAGAGAAAAAATAAATAGTGCCCATGTGTTAGGAGAGAGGTAGAAAGAATTTCTTAGTTAAAAAGGAAAGTGGTGTAACTAATTTAAAACTTCTTTTGTAGGAAAGTGATGCATTTAAAAATAAAAAACGGAGGAAGTATTTACTTGGCTGTTCTGGTCATGTTAATATGCAGCCTTTATTAGGACCACATGCAGGAGATATGGTTTTGTTACAGTGTAGATGGTAGTAAAAGTCCTCTGCCTTTTTTTTTTTTTGGGTGTATATGGTTTGAAGAGATGGCCAGGATTTTTTTCTCTGAATCCCTCACTGTTGTTTGCTTGGACCATGTAACTTGCATGTCTTTGGGCATGGGTTAGAGGTGGTTAAGAGATGTGAGGGTTCTCTTGTTGATATTGAAAGTTGGGTGGTCCCATCAACCAAAAAAAAAACAGATTTGGGTGAACATATCATTGTGATCTTTTATTGAGATATCTTTTTTTTTTTTTTTTTTTTTTTTTTGGGGGGGGGGGGGGGAGAGAGTCTTTTGTCCCATTAAGATGGCTTCCATATTTAGCGTCAGAAGACAATTTGTGATCTATTAACATGAGAAGACAAAATTTATGCTGTATTAGTGTCCATATTGATTTTGATTGTGATTGTGATTGTGTTAATTGATACAACCTGTTTATAACATAATCTGTGGTTAAAGGAATGCCTTGGGAGGGCAAAGCAGTAAGAGAAATAGTAATAAAAGTTTGTTAGATGACACTTGTATGCTTGAATTATAGACGTGAAATTAAGGGATTTCTGATAGGACCTAATTGCATTCCTGATGTTTGGTTTCTGTTTGCAGATAGTTTCATTTCTTCAACAAAATGCACATCCTCGTGTAGCTGAAAAAGTACCAACTGTTCCAGAAAATGTCACAGATCAGGTTTTTATATCTTGTCTTTTGATGTTGACATGTTGATGAATGCTTTACACTATTGTTTTTCCCCCAACAACATTTACTGTTGCTCTTGGGGGAAGGTTCATAAGTGAGGTGCTTTGCTCTCGCAGCCTAGTTGGTATGACTTAGTAAGTTTAGGGAGTTATTCTTGTTTGATTCACGCAGGAATTTCCTTCTTGGATATCTAGAGTAATGTATGTCCACTTGCCGACATGTTTTTTCTTCATTGCATTCTCATTAATAGTAATTGCCACCTAAATTAAATGGCACCATCCCCTTAATTATCTCATATTGAATGAACCATTAGTGCTACATGTTAAGACTCTGCATCAAGAGGATTTCTTAATTAGATACTTGTACTGTTTGACAGATTAGGCTATGGGAATCAGATTTAAATCGAGTTGAAATGTCACCTGCTCAGCTTTATGATGAATTTCCGTCTAAGGTGAAGACGAGGTCCCATTTAAATGATTTGGCTATCTTTTCATATAATTTATCTGACTGACCTTATGTTCTAATCTCTGTTCCTCTTTGTCTAGGATCTATTCGAGTCCGCTTGTGATTTTGCACGGGAATATGGAGCTCTATTGTGGGATAATTCGAAAAAGATGCAACTAGTAGTAAAAGCTGAGCTACATGCTGAAATGCGAGAGTATCTCCGCCGCCAAAAATAATAGTCATATACATTCCACTGTCAATGAAAAACTTGGGAAAAAAGAGGTGGTGGTCTGAAAGTAAAAGTTGATTGCACCGCGGCCTTTTGTTGATTAAACTGATGGGATGATTAGAACTGAATCTGATGCAATGCTAAAAGGGGAGACATAATTGTGCATGAAGACGAGACTTTCTGGAGGATAGTCATTTCGCCAATATTTTGAACTATTCTGTTGTCGTCATTCATCCAAATTCATCCCAAGCTTTCCAACCCCCTGAAAACTCTGCTGCAAATGGATTTTTTGAGAGACAAATCAGTTCCAAGAGCTTGTATTAAGTGTATTTTGTTGTGGACAATGCTTGTTTGTAAATATACCGTATATCAAAAGCGATGCGAACTGAGTCGAGAATTAGTGCTAGCCCATTCATGGTTTTGATTTGATTCCGAGTAATAAAGTGTAAGTTTAAATTCAGTCTGCCTGAGTTGCCAATTTTCAGTTTGGTCATCTTGCATATTCTTTCTTTGTGGTCTTCGTTTTGGCACTAATGAAAATAACTTTTAGAATTTTTATAGTTAATTTAAATGATTAACTTAGGTCCATTCACTTCACCTTAAGAGTATGCTAAAAAAATTTACTAAAAATTAAAAGCTTTAAAGAACAATTACAGTATTAAATATGGAAAAATCATTTTTAATCAAGGTATTATTAAGTATTGGCTAAAATCAGTTCTAATCAATAAAGATAGGTTTTAAAAAGTAAAACTAATACTATGTGCTTCCTCTTTGTCAATGCAGTATTAAATATAAACATCTTTAATTAGTATTAGCAAAAATTTTAAAAAAGTTAATTAATATTTGAAAAATGACATTGCTATGAATCTAATAAGATCATACGTGACTGTTTTTAAATCACAAAAAAAATAAAATAAACAAATAAATAGAAAAAATAAATAAATAATTAAATTTTTCAAAAAAAAATAAATAAATAAAAATAAATTTCAAAATAAGTTTTATGAATAGTGCACAAAATTAGAACATGCCTACTAAAAAGAACTCGACGGGGTATATGTCGTAAGGATACCTAATATAACCTTAATTAATATTATTTTGAAGATTATGAAACACAACCATTAATTTCAAACGAAGAGAGTACCGTGTAAAACATTCCTTTAAGCAACCAAATCGTAGTTGGCTTAATATTTTGATACACAATCATTAATTTCAAACGAAAATAATACAAAATTAAAACATTCCTTTAAGCAATCAAATTGTAGTTGGCTTAATATTTTGATACATTAACAATTCATTAAGCTTGCAAAGAACAGAAAAATAAGAGTTTTGTCAATAATTTTTCATGTTCACTTTTATAAACAAAGCTCATTTAAAAAAAATAATACAAAATTAAAACATTTGTTGCTGCCCAGGATCGAACTGGGGACCTTTAGTGTGTAAGACTAACGTGATAACCACTACACCACAGCAACTCATCTTGAAACAAATTCATTTCATATAGTATATAATTAACGACCACATAAAAAGACATTATTTAACCAATTTCTAGGAAGTTTCTCTCTTTTAACATCTTCGAAAAACAATGAAATTAAGGAAATTTCTATGAAATTGAAAACTTTAACTTATGCAATCATTTTACTAATTTGATTTATCAACCTAACAAAATCTACATGAATATATATATTTTTTGGAGAGCGACCGAAAATGATATATAGCATACAAACATGTAACAATCTTGCATATCACACTTCACGTAAACCCTTTTAAGCTTATATTCATCAAATGTCAAGTTTAAAATACCCTAACCTTATTTCCATGGACAAAGCTGCCATAAATTACATCAAAGTATCATTTAAACTCACCAATTCGGTCATGGCGATGACCGGGATCGCAATTCTTATGTATTGTGTTTGGATGATTTATGTTTGCTTACGAGAATACTATAAATATCCTTTCTCTTGGTAAATTTTTCCTTCATTACAAGCATTTTAAGGGTTTTTTTTTTTTTAATGGTACATTATTAGGGAATTATGTTAGCTTATTAGCTACAATATAATATTATTTTTTAAAAAAAAAAATATTTAACATCTCTCTATAAAGTGGTCTAAATTTCTCTTAGATTTTTTTGTTCACATCATGGTGTTTCTAACTTTCTTGATCATATGCTATTAAAATTCTTAAAAGATAATTGGGTTATGTGCATTCTTTAAATATTCGGTGATTATGATTGAATTTTTAAGTTCTAGTCTGGTCCGATTTGATTTTTTTATACAACTTCTTCATTCACTTGCCTCGCGATTAGCAACCATACGGCAAACTAGTTGTACAATTTTAGGACTAAGGCTTTGTTATTGTTGTACGACAATTATAAATGACCCGATTATTAGTTACTAATTATTTTGGAACATTTGCAGGTTTTTGTGGGCTTGTATATTTACCGGACTCATATTTTGTTCCACGGCATGCATAGGGCATGTAGGAGCTGATAAGAAGAAGAACAATTTTCTACTTTCCTTGGTACATTTTTAAACAAAATTTTAATTAATCCTACTTGCAACTTTAATATTCTTCATAATCAATATATATATATATATATGTTTTGATCTAATATATAATTCAAATATTACTGCAGTATTTAGGGATTATGCTCTTTCTTACTTTGGTGGAGAGTTTGATCACAGCAGATATATGCCTAAATGACAAATGGGATAAGGTACAAAAACGTTACGCGACATTCAATTGTTATTATTTCAATGGTGTTTTAGTAGAGACGGACTTACAATAACTTATTGCAAGCAGATTAAGCATTATGATGTCATATTTGTAGGCTAAAATATAAAAATTATTCCTGTGTTGTAATAAATTATTGTAAGTTCGTCTCATATAAGAGTTTGCCTTTTTCAAGGTTGATCATTTAAGTAATTATAATAAAATTGTTTATTTATAGTACGTCAAATAATCTTGTTTTGATGCAACAGGACATCCCTAAGGATCGCACAAAAAGATTTGATCACTTCGTGGATTATGTCGATGACCACTTCAATAACTTCAAATGTTTAGGCGTGTTGATCGCATTCTCTCAGGTTATATTTCGACATTTAATACTTTTGATTAGAACTTAATTAAAATTTAGTAATTAACAATAATATGAGTGTGTTAACAAGTTCGATCATATGATAATTAGAGTTATTAACCAGTTTAAGGTAAGTTGGTAACATGTGAACTAAAAACACAAAACGTCCACTTTCTTTTGATTTTTTTTTAATAAGTATGTCATTGATCGTGTCAACTTTTATCAACTTACAATAAATAAACTGGTTTATTATTTTAGCGGAAATAACAACATATATAAACTGGCTTATTGTTACAGGCTCTTTCGTTCTTCCTAGCAATAGTAATTCGATCAATGCGATCCAAATCACACCGGAAATACGAAGATGAAGAAGCTAACCTTCCTTTCTTAGATCATCAAGTTCAACCTCCTCCTCTACCGTATGCCGTCGGCCACCCCGATCCACAATATTATCCACCACCACCCTACACGCACGGTTATGGTTATGCCCCTTATGTAACAGGGAGTGAGAAGGGCGAGTACGTAGCTGCTGCTGTACAAGCTGCTCCTAAGGTTGTTTATTGATATTTATTATGTGATGATTTTTGTAAAATCTAATGAAGTTGTTTTTTTTTTTTTGGCTTTGAAATATAATGAAATTGTTATAGTTATACAATGTTTTATCTGATCGATCTACTAATATATGAGCTATTATTGCTAAGTGAATTTTAAGAATTTCAAAGAAAAGATATGATTATAGATGTATTCAAACCATCATAACATAGTAGGCAGGAATAAAAAATTCCTTAAAATTATACTGGAATAACAATGATAAAATGTATGGATTTAAACGTTACTCATTGCAATTGATATTTGGCAATAATTTGTATGCAACTGATGTATTGTATACAATATTTTTAATTATGTCATACAAAGTCACAGTCACATTAAATTTGTTGTAGTCGTGCAAATACAATCATTAATACGGAGTATTATTATAACTTAGGATATGTTCTCTACAGCTTAATTTCAGTTCAGTTTAGTTTAACTCTAATTAGTCCAGTTCAGTTCATTTTCTAATTTCCTTCTCTCATAAACAATTTAGTTTAGCTCAATTCAGTTCAATTCAGCTCCAATTCAGTTGAGCCCGGTAAATCAGAGCAGGCCCTTAGTCAAGATTTTAGTCATTGAAATTGCATTTGATGTGCTCATTATTATGTGATCATATGTTTGGTACTGAATATATTTTGGACGTGGGCATAATTTGCAGGGACCACAGCACCAATAATTTCTCTAAAAAATACTGGTAACAACGTTAAACTAGTACTACTGTATGTCTGTATTGTGCACGGATATTACACCTGATCTTTAATTCTTCTGTACTTAAGAAATCTTGAAGATAAATTCTAAATTCGCCACTGAATATGAGTCTAGCGTCCTTTCACTACACACATGAAGATAGACTCTTTATTGCCACATAATTTTGCATCGAGTATATATTTGTGCAAAATTACGCATACCTCATTACCAACATCGTCATTTAGTACCAACGCGTCATTAGTATTAGTACCCTTTATGTTAGGATGTTAAATTTCAAATTCCGGACCTGAAACTGATGTTTTTTCAAACGGAACCACCACATCACCAGAGAAAGCACACAAGGTTCTGTTGCCATTACGTTAAACTGTTAACAGAATTTCATGCTTCAGCTGGTAATATGCAGTAAATTTGTAATTAAGTTCAGTCTAACTAAGGAAGTCATGTACGATTTCAAACTTACACTACCAACACGACTATTAATTACAAACAAAGTGAGTAGTTCAATTGGATATTCCGTAACCAGCAGAGCAATCATGGTGAAAGAATAAGTAGATACAAGTAAATATGAATGAAATAATGAATACATTAGCATCCTCTCTGACCTACAGATACAGCATACGCCTATGCCAAACCCTTGAGATGTTACATTTCTCAAAAAAAGTGTGGAAAAATGTCAACAAATCATAACTAGAATAAGAGATAACAATTCAATCAAGAAAACAGAACCAAAAAATCAACAAATCAATCACTACTCTGATTTCTTCGGTTTTCTCTTCATCCGGCTAAAAGGCCCCACTGTTCTATCCATTATATACATGTATATAACCTGGCTCCAAGATTTGTATGACTCTAGCCCTTCATAGTACTCGGGTGCAATTTCTTTCACCTTGTGAAGCTTTGTTCCTGGAATCCTCGGAAAGTCATGGTGCTCGTTGTGATAGCCAACATGCCATGTCAAAAGATTCAAAGGGCCGTAATAAGAGTATGTTTCTTGATCGGGATTGAAGACATAATGCTCGGAGATGAAGTGACCGGCCATGGGATGCATCCCACCTCCAACGAAAGTTGAGGCAATCAAATAACCAAAAGATCTCCAGCCATATAAGTAGACCATGGAGGCATCAAGTGCCACTTGGATGGTCAAATTAGTGAATTCCCACAAACAAGGCGGCTTTGGTTTGAGAAATAAAGGCCGGAGAGCATAGAAGAAGAGTTGTAAGACTACCCAAATGGATTTGGTAAAAGCATTTCGAACCATATAGGCCTCAGCTTTGCTTGGAATGTCCATGTCCAAGCCATCAACACCTTGAAATCTATGATGCTCAAGATGGTATTTTTGGAATGTGATAGACATTGGCACACCAATAGGCAGGTTTGCGAAAATTCCAAGCCAACGATTGTAAGATGGGGTAGAGAAAGCTAGGTTATGGCTGAGCTCATGGACGGCCAAGAAAAGGTTGTGGTTAAGGAATGATCCAAAAAAGTATGCTACTACTAGTATTTTAAGAAAGCTTGCATCATGAAGTAGAGTAGCAGTTGCAAGCTGAGTCAATACAACCATCGTAATCTGCAGATGCCAAAAAAAAAAAACATCAAAAGGTTAAAACCTAAATGAGGTAATTCCATATGTCAGTCAGATTGATCATAACAGAATCAGAAATAATTCACAATAGAACGTCGATTTAACATGAACAAAAATTGAATTGGTTTAGCAAAACACTAAGATCTGTTGGTGATTTCAATTTACAACTGAAAAAAAAAACCTTCCAAGATTGCAACTTTCAACCTTCAATATGAAACAGACCTATAACCGGAGTCTAGCATTCCAAGATTATCACAAAAAAATGACATTGTCATCAATTTGGTTCAATTCAATCCTTCTGACATTTCCATTATACTATTCCCTCCCATGAATTTAATTGCCACATTGGTAATTCTCGTTATATCATCCATGTGACTAACTTTGGATGGAAGGTTAAGTAATGAGTACATTACACTAGTTTGACCTTGTTAATAAGAGAAGTCATTGCACACTTGATCGAGTACATTACACTAATTTGATCTTGTTAGTAGAATTTCCTTGCGCACTAGATGGAGCGCGGAGATGAACCATATGCAAAAGAGTGTTTTTGAAGAATGAGGTAAGAAGGGGAAAAAAAAAGGATTTAGATCTTTCATTGATGCAGAGGAAAAATCGATTCGACAATCAACTTCATTACTCGAAACTCACACAAGAATAGGCATCAAAGCAATGGAAATCCAATAAAATTCACTCAACACCCGTTACTTTCAACAGCAATTCAGCTAATTGTGATTTAGCAACAAAATGAGCAAAAACACCACATAATACTTTAGGCATATTTCCTATCATATAATGCCCAATCAAGTGCAACTCCTTTACAACCAAAGATGAATCTAATTAATCATATAATCAACTATATTAATCAGCATTAAATCCAAAGATGCTACATTTCAATTTCCCAATCACCAATGGTCAATTAAACTAATCCAAATAACTAACAAATTAATCATAATCAATGTTTAATTCCATCACTGAAGATCTAAACCAAAGATGAATGATAAACTTTACAGTGTCCAATAAAACAGAGAAATCTCACCCCTATTACATAACCACCAACAAAATTAACCAATGCCCATCAAAAAATACACAAAAATCAACAAAATTAACCAATACCCATCAAAGAAATCATACAAAATCACAAAAATAACCAACACCCATTAACTCGGATCTAGATATGAATGAATTAAACCCAATAAAAACCCAAAAAAATAATTCAAAAAATATAAAAGATTGAATCTTTAATAACCTTAGCAAAAGCCCAAGGATCAGGGCCAAAAAGCTCTTTAATTTGAGGGTATTGAGAGAGGATCTGGCGCCTTCTAGAAGCATGAGGTTCATCTGTGTATGACCAGAAGAAATCTTCCGCCATTGTTCCTTCTTTCTCCTCCCCTAATCCTGCCCCCATCTCCCCCCTTCCCTTTTTTTTTTTTTTTTTTTCTTTTTCTGTGAAATTGGGATTTTATTTTTTGAAAAAATTGTTGATATTTAGCCTTCAAAAAGAAAGAAAAAAAAAGGTGGTGGAACTATATTTGGATAAAAAAAAAGGAGGGAAAACGTCGTGAGTTTATTATAATGGACGAAAAAATACAAGTATTTGTAAAATTGTAAGAAGAATGAGCAAGATATCACGTTCATCTTTCGCTTTCAATCATGTGAGGTGGTTTGCTCTTCTCAACTTGGGTTTAATAGCTAGGGATTTTGGGTTATTTTCACCTTAAAAAAAAAGTATCTTATTCTTATTCTTGTTTGATTCGATTATCTTTTGTATGGTAATGGACTAATGGTAAGTTGTGGAAAAGATTGGTCTTTTTTGATATGTTACAAGTTTAAGTTTACAACTTATAACAACTTACAACTTACAAGTACTGAAGTACATGATAAGAGTTGCAATCCAATATAATATCTACAAGGTAACAATTTTTTTTGTAATAGAAATTTAAAAAGTAATGTTATATGTAGCTCTAAGGACTATATATAAGCATTAAATATACTCTTAGAAATTGTATAAAATTAGAAATTTATGACAAAAACACGCGTAAATCAGTGTTATTAATGTTTATATTTTGATGATTTCTTAACTTTTTACGATTTTCAAGTATAAATTTAATGTTTATATGTAGCCTTAAGGGCTATGTAGGGGCTTTTTTTTTCTTTTTTGTGTTAAGCGAGCACAAACACGGATGATGAATATTTATTCTACTTTCTAAAAGTGGGAGGAAAGTTTCTAACCACTTGAGATATCCTTGAAACCGGGAGGGATGATGAGAACTTGGGGGGCTTGTTATTAGATGATTTTTTTTTTGTAAAGGATAAAAAAAAATGAAAAACATAATAGGTGAATGAATGAGTTTTCCATATATGTTACTAGTAGTGAATTAGTTTTAATATTTATTACTCCCTCCATTTTTAAATATTTGCTCCATTTCTATTTTTTGTACTATTCATTTGTCCTACTTTGACTAATGTTTATGATTTATACATAAAAAAAATACAGTCTTGTGGGTACTTGTTGGAATTATCTCAATGAATAGATTATTAATTTTCAATTGCTAAAATTTATACATATTAATAATTAAAGATATTAGTGATCAAAGATTAGCATCGACATGCGTGTCCAAGAGAAATGGAGCAAGTATTTAAAAACGGAGGGAGTAAAAGACAAATTGTGCACTGATGTGTGTTAGTTAAGGTGATGCACTTATTTTTAAATAAAGGTACTATTATGACGCATCTCCAAGATAAGGTAAAACATGTCTCAAATCTTCAACATATTTAATATGAATTCGTTATCCCTACCCCTAATACAATCACAAATGTATGTTAATATATCATACCTTGGAATAAAAGGTACATATTATGGAGCTCAAAATTATATCATCTTCAAAGAGTAGAATTAGAAGGAACAAACTAGAAGGAAACCATTTAATTATTCGTAACTTATACTTCCTCCTTTTATTTTAGTTAACACCGTTTGACTTTTACAATATTCGCAAACTACATTTTGACTCGCTTTTTGTGATTTATATCTAATATAAAATATAATGAAGTGGGATCTTGTTTGAATCGTCTCAATGTATATTTTATTAATATACACTTTATGATTTTACAATGACGAGAATTAAAGATATTAATTGTTAAAAAAGTGCGTTAACAAGCATGATAATAGAATAGTGTCAACTAAATTAAAACAGAGATAGTACTTTAACAAAGCCTTTGCGGAGTAATGTGATTGAGTGAGAGGCAGGGTTTATCAAAATTTGTATCAAAACACAAGTTGCACAACTTTATACATTTCGCCAATCAATCGACCACTAAATTTGTATTACCTCCGTTTCATATTATTTGCAACAATTTGACATTTTTCTCTCAAACTTTATGTCAAATCATTGCAAATACTCCATAATATGAAACAGAGATATGTCAGCTTATTGACCACAAAATCAATGTACCATCACAAAGGAATTTGAATCTACAATTTTTAATATCCACTAAAAACAAATAAAAACCCAAATCAATTCCAAGTATTCAAAATCCATTTGAATTTGTATATTCCCTTTATAAAACACCATCAAACTCATTTTAAAACGAGGTACGTGTCATTGCTCTTAACTTACAATACTTTCAAAAAAAAAATTTGATTGATTATAAAGTGTAAAGGTGTAATCTTCATCTCTTCTAGTACTCCGTAATATACTAGTGTGTGATGCGGTGTAATCTTTCTTGGTACTTTGTTACAGTTTACAAACTTGCCATTGTCACTCAAGCCTAGAGGCGAATCATTAGTTCATTGTTTATTACAGAGTACTAATTATCTTCTATGGTTCGGTAGTAGTTACTCCGTAATATCTCACTTGAGATGGTTTTATTTACGTAATAGAAGTGTAAATTAAGTAATAGCTATACAATCATACTGAAATGTAAATTAAGCAAGAATTCTACAAAATCATACGCCGAATTAAAGTGAAGAGAACAAGTACTAGACCTTTTAGGCCAAACCACCTTGTAAAAAATGTGACATATACTACATGGCTTCTCTTTTTAGGAATTTTCAAAGTTTGATTAAAGCACTTCTACCAAATAAAATCAGGAATCCTATTTTAAAATCAGAAGTTTTCAGATTTCCTAAATTTGGAACTATCAATACAGTACAACACATCTATAATTTTTGTATACCCAATTCGCCGCCCAGGACGAATAATTTTTACAGCCTTACACGATATCTTGGCGAGCTCAGCATCATTGGCGGCAGCAGAACTAAAGAGATGAAAGGCATTTGATCACAACATAATATAGGAGTGCCTTGGGTTCCTGCATTGAATATAAACAAAAGAAAGGAGTTCTACCCTTTTTTTTTTTTTCTGAATAACAGAGCTGTACAAGCATGTACACATTTACCTACATACAAATTTACGGAACCCATAACAGGAAACCACCCCAACCTTCCTTCTCTTGCCTTCAAATAAATCAGGCATGAGATTTAACCACAGAATAGACAGCAAAGTCATTTAAAAGAACATTTGCACTTCTAACTAATCTAAACAGACCATAGTCTAAAAGCAACTGTTGCGACAGCAAGAATACTGTAGGCTAACCACAGCTGCGACAGCGAGAATACTGCAGGCTAACAGACCATAGTCCTTTCCTTCATTTCAGGTGTGAATCATATGCATCGAATAGGGATTCCGGAACAATCAGGGGCAACTTCTCTATATACATAAACAACCTCCTAAGATTCTCCTTCGTCAATGTTGTCATGTCAACCACGTCTCTACTATCAGTGAACACCCAAAGATCTCCAGAGTTCACCCTCTTCAGACTATCTCGGCAAAAGGGGCAGGATTGTGATCTTGAGCGCCTGCAACATGTAATAATCACTCTCAATTCTGCTCTGAAGATAACACAGATGAAAATTTCAAGTGATCAGGGGAGAAATAACTATCGAAGTACACAGCAGAGATTATAAAATAACAAGGTTAATCTTCTTAGATTAATTATTTCTACTTCCAAGTTTCGTCTATCCTAATATAAATACAAAGGTTGCCAAAATTCATTTACATAAATGGCCTTACCATTTTGTAGCAGACTGATAAGTTCACTCAAAAAACCTTCATACACCAATCAAGTCTTTTAACCCATTGACAACAGCAACAAGGAAAATGTGACTCAAAATGAGCAGCCAAAAAAAATCAATATGTGATGATCTTGTATAATTAATATACACAACATAATTGCATAAATAAGGCACGCTATGTTGCATGCCACAGATCAAGGAACTAGTGGTGGATATCTGTAATAAACTGGTGTTCTAGCTTAGTATTTCTGATTTAACAAAACAAATGAATAAAGATGAAGGCTTGATAATTTGATTGATAATGGCTGAAAGCTTACAAAGGTAGTAGGTTTAGCCTACAACTCTCCTGTTAGCAACTTGAGGTTGCCACTCTCTATTTCCAATAACCCAATTCATGCCTGCCTTTACCTTTTCCCCCTCTATCTATTTATACAAAAGCTAAGGACTATAAACCTAATAATACTAAACTTCCCGAATTTCCCCTCTTAAGATTAGTTATTACAACATCATGGGGAGGCTTGTTATTTCTTAGGGTGGCACTTAATGGCTATTCAAGTGAGATGCTATGAAACTTCTATTCTATAACTTTTGAAACATCTGGGTGACCTTTTTGCAACAAAATGGCCTGTGACATGTATATTGGAATATTGGATGAAGTGAAACATAAATACCAGACTAGCAACCCCTCCCCAAGAAAAAAATAGATAAATGAATACATAAATATTATTTTGACCATACAAGCTGAATAGTAAAACTTTAAAAATTTCTAGGCCTCAAGAACAGTTAACAGGCATGTTAATCCAAGATCCAAAATTAGTTCAAGGCCTCAACATTTAAAGGACAATATACCTATATACCAACCGTGACTGGTGTACCTATGTCAGTCGACTCTATAGTTTATAGAAGTAATTTGGCGATGCACAAGCAATATGCTTGAAATAAAAATACTGATTTAAGTATATGGATTTGCATGAGCATGAGGCATTTGATCATAAGGGATGGAGAAGGAAGATTTTAGTGGATGACTATACGGAAATACGGAATAATCATATTTGGTTTATATAGCCAACCCCACTTAAAGGATTAAGGCTTTGATTGATTGACTTCATCCTCATCCCTTGGTTAACATCTTTGAACCATCAAGTACATCACATTTTATTTACACAGCTTCAGCCTCCTACTTAAAGTCAACTCAGCTTCTCACATTGAGCAGCAATAATACCTCAACATAAAACTGAATAGGCCTATTACTACAAGAAGTGCAGCTGTTATGTGTTATGCAACGGCAAACAAAGGCTCCAAAGAAAAGGAGATAATAAAATGAAAACTAGGCTGCTGCAGTCACCTCAGTTTGAGCACAAGAATCACAACAGTGCCGTTTTGTAAGCACTTGACGGTAACATATCAAAGCACTTCAATCAAACCTTGAATTGTAGAAAAAATTTCCAAGGTAACAAAGAGTTGAAGGAGTTACAAACCTTAATATAATCAGTTCATGTACTTATACCCCAATATCAGGCACGTAGGTAACACTTAAGTAAGCAAGTAGAGGACAAAAGAACAGCCATCTCCATCTACAGAATTTTAGAGCTCCCTAGCCTAGAGTCTCTGCTCTCTACTACTATAAGTGCATATTCAACCACTTTCTGGTGGTATAGTTAAAGCTGGATACGAGAAACAGCTCTAGGTTATAAACGAGAGAGAAAAATCCACTATAGGCGCAAAGAGGTTACCTCAGCATTGAATCATGGGCTAGGCCAATCTGTCCATTTCTTGACAGGCCAAAAATACCTTTTTAAAAGATCCTTCTCAGCAAGCAGAGTTGGTGCCTCAGAAAAAAACATTTTTATAATAGATATTTTATTATCAAAATGCATAGTTGGTGCCTCAGAAAAACAAATTTATTTGAAAAACCACCTAAGAAAAGCTACACCTCTATTTGATAAAGTCAGACGAAAATGGGAGGATTAAAGAAAAAGACCAGTCAGACTTCCAACAAGTAGCATTGAAGGGCACTATTCTTCAACTAATAGCTCTAGTGCTCCATTTGCACTAAAAAACAAGTTCCCTTCACTTCTTCCCTTTCCCATTAGTAGCAGTGGCACAGCATCGTCAAAGCCATGACCTAACTAGAGCAGCAAAAAACTCTTTCTCATAAATTCATGATGTCATGACCCAATTAAACAACTTGGAAACAGAATCAGTAAGATAAACTCCACTCTTAAGTCCCAACTACAGATGATTTATTTAGCAAGATCAGGTTCAACCATCCAAGGCCCCTACAACTTGATCAGTTAGCAACCTCTAATAAGATAAATTCTCCGACTTTAGAAGCTTGAAAAGCACCTGAAAATAGCTACTTCCAAGGCAGCATGCCAAAGCAGCTAACCACTATTACAACTGGGAAGACATAATATACACAGCCTTGACATACCATCAAGTCAGGCTTGTTTCCAACAGAAGCTTCGAAGGACCAGGTAGCTTTGGAAGACCTCAATGCCCTCAACTAAAATAGACTAATGTGAGAGGAAAAAAGAAAAGGGATCAACAAAGCTATGGTCAAAGAAAATAGAAATTATCTCGAGAGATGTTCCAGTGTTAATGTGGGTGAACATAGGACAGTGAACATGCATCATTTCTATAACGTGACAGATCCACCAAATGAGCCTCAACAATCAATAGACAGAGAATTAAAAAATAAAAAACCCCATTAGCAAATTGACAGCAGAGGTTCTGACCTTGACCGATATAGCAGAAAGCACCATCACCTATAAAAACTTTTCAATAGGGGAGGCAGGAAGTGGAAAAAAAATACTCTTTTTGGGCAATGGTGATGGTTTCCGCAAAGAGCATGAGGATGTGCTAATATTTGCAAACTATATGTTTAAAAAACAAAAAGGTTTGGGCCTAGAGAATGTCTTCAAGAGAAGTAAGAACTGCAGCTGTCTCAAAGACAGACTAACATTGAAGGCTTCACAGCTGTTAGATTAGCTGGCTAGACTCTTATCGAAATTGTGTATACAAAACAAAATATATTTTCAAGAAATCAACTTTTCCTCAAAACCCTCCAACAGAAAACTTTGAACTTACCATTCTCGATAACACTTTAGGCACATGACATGGTTGCAATTGGGCAGCACAATTTTGCTGTAATTCTCCATGCAAATACCACATTCTTCCTCTCTTTCAATATCCATATCTGTATACTGCCTATATTCCTCTTCATCTCTTTTCCGATATCTCTCCATGCAAACAACTTTTTGTTTTTTATCCTCGGTATCAGTAACGCCACTTTGAAGTTGTAATAATGAGGGATATATTACCGCTGCCAACAAGAAAGAACATATATCATACGAAAGAAGAGGAAAGCAGCCATATATGTGGCTCAAGGTTTGCATTACACAAAACTACAATAGCACACCTACCATAAAACTCTCGGATACTTGCTTTTCTTTCATGTGTTGACATGGTAGTGGTGCCATCCACATAAACCTGCATAGAAAGAGGGCAGCTAAGCAACAAGTTAAAACATTGCACATATCATTAAACAGCCACTCCGTAAAAACCAATTTAGAAGATTAATAGCCAACCTTATAAATTAAAATTCTCAACAAACCAAGTGCCCCTGCTAAGTTGCAATCAGTCCACTGGACCAAGAAAAGCAGGAAATGGGCAGCAGGAGCATATGACATTCTCATTTGAAGACAAGCACCATCATATTCTCTAGGAAATTCTGATGCCCTGCAAAACCAATAACAAAACAAAAATCAAATAAGAAAAAATATATATAGTTGTCAACCTAGCAAAATATCAAGCATCGTTTTACATAGATAATACTTGAACTTGGTCAACTAAGGAATTTGCACCTCTCACTATCTTTGAAACAGTAAATGACCACAAAAAGAAAGCATATTAGAATACTGCTGAAGATAATCCGACAGTTGAATAGGCATCAGCAAGCATTACTAGCTTTAAATCCATAATAAGTTAAAAGTCCAAAACCAAAACCCCAACTAAACCCATCATTAAAATTTAAAACTTAATCTTATACAAATATCAATTTCAGTGACATTGATCACAATCACAATATGTAGAACTCAAATTCAGTGATATTGATCATATTGCTCAACAAAACACATGCTCTACCACTCGATTCCAATGGGACTGCAATATCGAAAACTCTAAGCAAATGCAAATTAATCTCCACAAAGTTACCACAGTGGTCAGCATTACAATTGCACAATTAACTTAAAGCACCAAACAATTACGGCTCCACCGCGATAACGCCATAAGTCCATAATTATGAAACTTCAAAAACAAATCTCCCATGTCATTATCCTCAACAACCCCACTTCATTGAAAGTTCAAACAGTTAGGTAAGTGGGGTATGCATGAATAACTCAAAAACAATGAACATCATCATCATATTATCCTTAACAATTCATCAAACCGACAGCTCGCCGACTGCACCGTCTCACAAATATCATCTTTAAGGAAGTGAATTCATTGTTAATTGTGAAAACTAATGAGCTTAATCAAATAGAATACAATTCACAACAAAGTGTTGATCAAAAGGTACTAAAATTTTGTAACCAAATATACCAGAAGAGCTGATTAAGAACAATCTAAAACCCACAAATAAAACTACAGTACACTAAAATAACAACAATTCAGTGGATAAGAGCTTTTGGTTAAAGTCTCGGGGGTGGTGCCTATTGCCCAGGACCTGGAATCGAATCTCGTCTATATTTACATTGTCCTTTGCGACTCTCTCTACACTAAAGAAAAAATAAAAATTAAAAAATAAAAACAACCCAGAATCATAAGATTCATGAGGGTAAATGGGGAATCAATCATTAAAAAAATCCCAAAAAAGAAACTTTATCCAGAAAATTCAGAATATATCCCAAAATAAAATGAATTTCTCGAATAATTAAAAAAAAAAAAGTAATTGTTGATGGCTTACAGAGTATTAGCATGTTGAATATCAGCTTCTAGAACTTTCAGAGAATCCTTGAACGACTTTCGCATGGGAGAAGCCACATACATTTCCAATAATTTCTATCTCCTCAGTTTCTTCTTTAAAACCCTCAAATTTAACCCCAGAATAATAATAATCAAAAACAAAAACAGAATAAAACCCAGAATTTCACCATCAAATTAAATTAAATTTGAATCAAACCCATCAACTAATTGATGATTTTCAACCAAAAATCCTTCAATTTACTTAAATAAAAATTTCAAATACAAAAACCCAGAACAAAACCCTAACAAAAAGTACACATGAATTTTATTTTATTTTCACTCTCCAGAATTGAATGAGGTTTCTCTCTCTGAAAGAGAAGGAAAGCTTAGCCCTTTTCTGGGTTCTTCTTTGAACTTCTTTTGTAATTTTGATTTTTTATTTCTTTTTTAGGAGAAACAAAAAAGGTGGATGATGTGATAAGTTGACAAGTGGAATTATGCAATAAATGTCATTGAGAGGTTTTACTCAAGAAAATAAAAAATCACCTGTCAGAAAATATTTTAAACAATAATTATTGATGTAATAACAATAAAATGATAAAGATAAAATTGATAATGATAATAGTGATTATAAAATAATGATGAAGGGTAAATAAATTAGTAAAATAATTATGATGGATAATGATAAAATGGTGGAATTGCCTTATCCAAACTTTTCAAAACAAGCCACCCCACTATTTTAGTGGCTTGATTCTTAGCTTATCTTTTGCTTTCAAGAGCTCCTATTGTTGACTTTTACTTGTACTATTTTAGATTTTTAGGATATATAAATATCTTTTGGAGAAATATCTTAGACAAGTGGTGACTAGGATGCTTCTTATTTTTATGTGAAATGTCATATAGTTTTATATAAGTTGTTATTCTGTCAACATAATTTATAAATTATACTTTCATTGAAATTCTTAATCATGTCTATGGAGATATTTATTTGGGTCTATTTCTATCAATAAAGTGTAATGCTTACAAAATTTTGTTTATAATAATGGCTATCATCAACTTACTAATCCACGTACATTTGACATGAGGGATATGGATAAGAAAGATAAAAATGAAAAAATATAAGAAAATTGATGAATGAATAAAGTTATAACATGTATTATCGATCTCATATTTGGTGAAGTATGAGTTGTGAATAAGAATGTAATAAGTAGCAAGGTTAAAATATATATTTTTTTTTTCCTTTTTCTCTTCCTTTAATTTAATTTCCAATCCTTATTATTATCTCTCCTTTACTCCTTATACCAATCACACTAATACTCCTCTCTAGTTACAGGGTTTAATTTGAGAGATAGGATATACTTTCTCATCCCTCCTTTAATCCATATTCCCTTTTATATATACTTTCTCTGTTTTTATAAATGCATCATTTTGATCGGTATATTTGTAGACGTAAATTTAACCACTAATATTTTAAATTGTTTATTAGTAAAAATTATAACAAAAATATTTTATGAAAGTAGACAATGTGACGAATCTAATAATATATTATATAATAACATTTATTTATTTTATAATAGCAAAAAAATTAAGGCAAATATAACATGTGAATAATAAAAAAAATCAAATTAAAGCATTTTAAAAAAATATTACACTTATTTTATTACATCGTCGGTATCTCTATCCCTTTCCTTTTATCACTCTCCTGCGTTATTCAAAAGTGAAATTTAAGCATTTCAATTTTAGTAAGGATGTTGGTAATAGACATAGATAAATGAAAAGTTGAGTTGTCATCAGTTTGCATTGTAGGAGTAATACAAACACTAGAACTAGATAAATCCTCTTATTTACTTTGATTTCCACTCCTTTTATCAACATAATTCTATAGTTATAAGGTCATGTTCACTTCAGTTTCAGCTCAGCTCCAATCAATTCAAATCAGTTCAGTTCAGCTCTTAATTTCCTTCTCTCATAAAATATTTGTTTCAGTTCAGCTCAATTCAGTTCAGTTTAGTTCAGCTCAATTTCAGTTCAGTTCATTCCATTTCATCTCATTTCAGTAAATGCGAACATCCCCAAATTCATCGAATATTGTACTCTCACGCTCTAAGATATTATTGGTAAAAAACCCTTATTAATTAACATTTATACTAAGTGATACACCTTAAAAATAAATAAATAAAAGAAGTGGGGTATCAAATGTGTTTAATTACTTGGCCAATTCCTTTTAAACTCAAAATTATAAAGTTATATATGAATTAATATTGCGGAGTACTAGCTAAATGATTCAATCATTACAATATTATCCCAAAATACAATATCTTCTTAAAACTAGCACAATTGCACTCGGCAAGTCGGCAAACATACAAAGACATGAGTCATGCATGCATGCACCTTTGCTGCAGCTATTCTTTGGATCCACCAAAACCATGAATTGCCCAACCAACCACTCGCAACTCAAAATCACCGCACCGTTTATTCTAAAACTCATCAATTCGCCAAATTAAGCTAGATTATGTGTCTGTTCTCATTGACTGAATTGAACTAAACTAAACTAAATTGAACTAAGCTTAATTGAATTGAACTGAACTGATTAGAACTGAACTAAACTGAACTGATTAGAGCTGAATATTTTATAAGAGAATGAAATTAAGAGCTGAACTATACTAAACTAAATTTATTAGAGCTGAAACTGAATTGAATTGAAAATAATCGTATACCCTACAATTACATTATATTCATACTACAATTTAATATAATTCTAATCTATATATATAATATTAAATTGTAGTACGTACGTTATTTTTAGTAGTTGGGTTGTAAATTACTCAATCATCATTATACCACCATTGGAATTATAGAGAATTTTGGATCATAATGAAGCACATGCATGATGCATGTTTGATGTTTCTTAATCAAAATTAAAGCAAATTATGTATTACTCCCTGTTTAGTGATAATTAAAGTTGACATTTCTTCTTGTGGGCGCGGTTAGGTAACCAAAGGCGCACGGATTTGGTATTAGGGTAAAAAAAATTTAAAAAAGGTTTTTTTAAAAATAAAAACAAATTTTTTAAAAAAAATTCTCTTCGTTAATTGCTAAGATTGGCACACATGACACGTGTAATGTACAACTTTGACTATTATCAGTCGTAATTACATGAGTAATACTTCATATGTAAAAAATATAAAAGTTGAATATATAATGAAAATGTAAATAAAGACTAATCCAAATAAAGTTTACATGTTTCATATATTGGTAAAAATTATGATAGTCAAGGTAAATATATAAATAATGCAAAAATCAAGTAATATAACTAGGGTTGCGGATAGGGATGTCAGTGGGGCGGGCCAAGTAGGAGACCCGCCCCAGTGGAGCGGGGATGGGTCTCGGTTTGGCGGGCGGTGGGGCGGGGATGGGGATGAAAACGATACCCGCCATGGGTGATGGGGCGGGGGTGGATTTTAAGTTGTACCCGTCCTATCCCCGCCCCGCCCCACCCGCCCCACTTCGTACCCGCCCCATCCCCACCTCATACCCACATCTATATATTTTTATATTATTTTATAAAATAATTACGTGAAATAAATATTAATTATAATATTTGTACTGCACTTATATTATAAACAAAAATGTGTGTAATGTTAAGAATTTTTTTTTAATATTATAATCCGTATTAATTATGTAGGATTGTGTATTTGAGACACGGAAATTTGGTGGGTCTTGGGTGGGGATTAGGCGGGTATTCGGTGGGGATTAGGCGGGGCTGGATATCCAAGTGGGGGGGTGGGGCAGGGATGATTTTGGAGTTGTACCCACCGGGGCGGGGATGGGGATGAATATTAGACCCGCCACGGGGATGGGGATGGGGATGGGGATGAAAATGTTAGGTGGGGATGGGGATGGGAAGGCCAACATCCGCCTCGTCCCACCCCATTGACATCCCTAGGTGCGGACTAAAATTTAAGAACGGATAAGTGATAGATTTTCAAAATTTATTAGGTTTATTAAATTAACTATCGGAATTTCATCATAAATACAATATTCTTTATTATAAAATCCATTCATCAAAAACTATTTTACAAATTCAAATATTAAACATTCATTAACTACTTTTTATTTTTATTTATTTATTTTTAATGGCATCTTATTCAAAGATTAATAAATGCAAGTCAAATTAAACAAGGAGGATCGAGAATATACTAGATATATACAACTAATGTTGCGGTTTGTTTTTGTCAACTTTGCGAGGTGTCCAAATGCCATCATCTCTGACGTCTTTTTTTGACATACTACTTTAAAAAAAAAAAAAAAATCGATTTTTTTAAAAAAATTTGACGAAAAAACAATTAATAATCGAAAACAGGAGTTCATATACACTTGAAACCAGCAACCGCAGTTGGTTTAATTTAGGATTAATTTGGACATATATAATTGGACATATATAATTTTGGATCAATTTAGTTGTGGGTGGCAGATAGCTCACCACTAAGTACAAGCTCATTAAGTCACTAAATCACTTCCTGTCAAAAAAGTCACTAAATCACCTAATTAATTCCAATTTGTCTTTCATTTCTCATAAAAATTCCAGTTTTTCCGGTGTCTAAATTTTTATTTTAAAATCCCAAATTGTCTTAGTATAATGCACAAGGGCGATCTACTAGTCTACTACTACATACTAGTAGATGATCTTCTTCATTTAATCATTTTCTCGGATCGAAAATTTGGATTGGCATATAAATCATAAAAATTCAAACTTGTATTATAAGAAAATACAAAGGAATAATGAGTAATTCAACTATGTACTTACAATGTTTGGTAGTAGGGAGGATATGGGGTTTTTGTGACTTGTTTAATCTGACTCTCATTAAAACCTTGTTCACTTCATCTTAAGAAAAAATACTATTTAAGTAAAAATAAGTTCAGTTCATTTAAAAATAACTTCAGTTCAATAAAAATAATTTCAATTCAGTAAAAATAAGTTCGGTTCAGTAAAATTTAGTACCTAAAAAGAAGAAATATAATAGAAAATTGGTTAAAAATTTAATTTCATATTAGTAATATTACTTTCATTTCAGTAAAAATAATTTAAGTTCGGTAAAAATAATTTTATTTTTGTAAAAATAATTTTAGTTAAGCAAAAATAAGGTAAAGTGAACGGGGCCCAAACCCTCTTTATAATATAGACAGTCGTAAAGCAATTAACGAAATATTAATCATATATTCTACGAGATTCTAAAGATAAATGTCGCATATTTTTTTTTAATATAATCTCTTTATTTACATATATTTGATACCTAAAAATTAATAAAATTTCGATGTCAACATGTTTGTAGTTGATTAACTCTATTGTCAATAACCACCTCCCCTCTTTATTTTTCGCTCTTCTCTCTCTTCCTCCTTTAAAACCCTTAAAAAAACCTTGTTCGAGAGGCTATCGACTTTTTGGTTGATGATAATAAGCCCCTAATTTTTTGTTATTTTATTATTTATTTGTTTTAATTTATGCATATATTTTCTTCATTTTTTTAGATGCCTTTTTTATAGGAGGTGTTAAATACCGCAAACAATTTTATCAAAACCGTCAACATTTAAGGTGAACGGACATTAATATCCTTACTATACCCCCCCACCACATCTCCCTATTTCTCTTTTATTTTTTAATCTCTCTCATCACCCATAAAGGCCATAACCACCACTTCCCAACCACCATCAGCCACAGCAGCCGGCCGCAGGCGAAGAGAAGTGGCGATCGTACGTCGGCGGCGACGAGGAACGGAGGTGATGAAAGGGCATCAGGTGCAGTGGTCGGAAAAACCAGTTCATTCGTCACCTCGCTTCGATCTTTTTTTTTTTAATAACTTCAGGCGCTCAGCACTGGCACGCAAAACCGATTGAACATCAGGGTAACCGATTTTGGACACCGGTCAATCATCGTGCAAAAGCGGTCATCCGGGACGGTAACCGGTTGACCGGTTTTGGACGTCGGTTATCATGGTCACCGATTACCACAAATTTTAGAGATGGAGATTACAGAAAAAGAACATTCTATGTGATAGAAATACAAATTAAAGAAAAATAAAAGGTAATGCATCTAAATTAAAAAATTCATATATAGAAAGTGGCGTATCCAATAAAATGGGTTATTTTTCCCACGAATTTAAAAACATAGCATCAAACTCTCACTAGGAGGGAGTTAAAACCCGTTTTATTTTATTTTTTTCAACACAAAAAAAAAATTAAAACCGGTTTTATCTCCCTTCTTGTGAGAGTTGACGCTATGTTTTTAAGTTTACGAGAAAAGTTGGTTTATTTTTTATTAAGGATCAAAGGTCAATTCAAAAAGTAAGGCATAGATCAAGTGATTAGAGATTCCTTCCCAATTTCATATTGATTTTCATCACTCATCCTTATGGCTCTCTAAACACCAAGAACAAAAGACAAAGGCCAATTCTACGACTTTTATACTTTTATTACCATAGTATTACTTCACCTATTGGTATATATTTAAAATTATTATTTATTTTACTACCAACAAAAACACAACTACAAATAGATGCTGCTACTCCCTTCATACTTTATTACGTGTTCCACTTTCATTTTGCGGCCGTATTTTATTACTTGCTCCGTTTTATTTTTTTTTTTGGAAACTTTTAATAATATTTTACCATTTTCTTCCCCACTAGGGGTCCTTTTATAACAATATAATTTATTAGTATTTTCATACTCTCTCTTGTCTACTTATAACCACTTTTGTGTTTTTTAAGGGTTTTTTTTTTCAACCAACCCCACTTCCATCATATTTTATTACTTTTTATTTTTACTAAACCTCCTAAAACTCTACGCATGGAGAATGGAACAAGTAAAAAATAAGGAGGAAGTACCACTTAACGGTTTTAGTCAGAGTTCCATTAGTAGCCAGTCATTAAATTTTCATCCTCGATTTGCGTGCCAAAAAATATTTCATTAAGATATGGGTCATTTTGGACCTTAACGATCCAAATTGAGCTTGGAATTGACAAAAAAATAATACATTGTTTGCGTATAATTATTCTTTTTTCTAAGAAATTTTCTCAATCTAAATACTTAAGCCCGATTTTGTTCAGCTTAATTTCAGTTCAGCTCCAATCAGCTCAGCTCAGTTCAGCTTAAATCAGTTTAGTTCCTAATTTATTCTTCTCTCATACACAATTCATTTCAACTCTATTTAGTTTAGCTCATCCACAATTAGTTCAGTTTAGTTGTTTTCAGCAAATCGAAACAACCCCTTAAGGGTCTAAATTATGAGTGTTCATTATTCAGATTAAAACTGAAAATCTGTAAATCCTAATCGAATTACTTATTCAAATTGGATTGAAATTTTTTTCAAATTTGGATTTTCAAACTGAATCAATTGACCTTGTTTGGATCCAAAAAATCTAAATATGAAAGTGTTATTTTTTTAAAAAAATGTCGATATTAATCATGTAAAATTATGTTTTTAAATTATATAATATTAAACAAGTAAAATTTTGTTTTCAATATTTGTATTAATCATGTACAACTATATTTTCAAGATTTGAAATTTTATAATCGCATTTTCATTTTTATAACCGTATTAGGCCTTAAAAATTTGTCACATATTTTAATTTGGGTTTTCAAATCGGATCCAAATAAACGAATTTTAATTCGGATTGATTTGATGAGGAAATTTTGAATATATTGTATTTGAAAATTAAAAACCAAATTTTATTTCGGATCAGTTTGTATTTGACCTAAATCCAAACCTTCTTACACATAAACATGAGTTGAGCCAAGACTCGAGAACCGAGGGGCCGGTGAGACCTTACCTATTCATTTCGAACTTGTGACTTGTAGAATTGTGGTGTATACATGACATACAATAATAAATGTTTCAACCAATTAAGCTACCAATTCAAGCCTCATCACCTACATTCACTTGGGAGTAAAGGATTACTTTACTTATTTCCTCTACTCTCATACGCTAACCCTGCAAAGATGGGGTAGCTAAACTTAGAAAAGATGCTGGTTCGGCAAGATCTTTCATCTTAACTTTAAAAATAAAAGTTAGGGGCGTTCTTTAGGAAACTAAGAAACCAAGAGTTGAGTGGAGGGGTTGTCATATTTAGAGGTGTATTGTCAAAACCGAACCAACCCGAAAAAAATTATCCGTTTCGAACTGTAACAGATTCGATTTGATCCGAGAAAATCAAGACCCAAACCCGATATGTAACCCAATCAAACTCGACTCGAATTCGAACTTGACTCAATATGAACTTAACCCGGCATCGATTTGATCCGAACTGAATACAACCCGAATCCGATTTGACCCTACCTGAGCTTAAGTCGAACCGATTTTACCCGACCCGAGCTCAACCCGATCCGAAATTGACCCGAAAAATAACCAATCTAATCTGATCTATTTTGACCCGAACTGATATCAACCCGACCCGATTTTAACTCGATTTGATTTTTACCCGATCCGAATTTAACCCGATCACAATTAATTATCGTCTTTTTTTATTCCAGTTCTTATACTACTATATTTACTAATTATTAATAAGTTAACTTATTCTACTACAAATAAATAATCTGGAGTAACATGTTTACTTCATGTACATACCAATCATATAAAATTACTTTCTAAGCTTTATATTCGTCTCATCTAAAAGATGACATTGAAGATTGTACAATTGAAGATTTATAATAACCTTGAAAAGATGACATTCTTTTTTTTTTTTATATATATATATATATATATCACCATATGTAACTATCATTTGTCAATATATCACTAGCTCATTATTTATCGTTTCACTTATATAGGTATTATAAGTCATCAATAATTATACAATTTCAATTTGTCTCAAAGATAGAAATTACACATAACTTGATCAAAGGAGAAAACTAAAATTTCGTAATTCGTAATTAATAATCAAACGATAAAAATATATGATACGACTTGATACTAACCTAATAATAAGGTAAAAACTCAGTAATAACTCTAGTTTAAAAATAACCTTATTTGGATATGAATTTGGTCAACTCGACTAAAATCCAGCCAAACACAAAAAGGAATTGAATTGAATTTATTTATTTTTTTTTTTTTGAAAAAAGAATTGAATTGAAATTGAACAATAATGAATCAATGGTACGCATCAACCTTATCTTAATCAAACCGAACTTGACTAAACCGAAATCATCCCGACCCAAATCCATCCGACTCGAAATAACCTGGTTAAACTCACTCTGAACCCGATTCGAATATATCCGAACCGAAAGTGAACCGATCTAGAGTTGACTCGACCCATATCCGACCGACAATAGATTGACCATGACTCGGATTTGATCCGACCCGAATTTGACCCGATCTGATCCGAGTTAAAAGAATAATTTTGACCCGAATATATTCGATCCGAACAGACCTGACCCTAATAGACCCGACCCAAACTCCATCCGGTTATCCGAATTGACACCACTAGTCATATTAACCTACTTTGTACTCCGTATTTAATTAAAAATAATGTAAAACCTTTTACGGGTAAATTTAAGTTTCTCTCTGAATACTTCTCCTCTCACAGTCTAATAATTTTCTTTTATATTTTAAATGATAAAAGTAAAATAATAGAGTGACACAAAAATCAATGAATAAAGTTGTAAGAGAAGATAAACTAGAATATTAATACAGAGTATCATAGATTAAGGGCCTATTCTCAACTTCTCATACGTTTATTTTCAGTTTAATTCAGTTCAGGTCAGTTCCTAATTTTCTTTTCTTATAAAATATTCATTTTATTTCAGTTCAGCTCATTTCAATTCAATTCAGTTAATGAAAATAGGCCTTAATTGGGGCTCTCTCAACCCTTAACATCAAACCATTATTTCTGTATCACAATTTTTATCATGTTGTTGTGTCATATCAAAGGCTGTGATAATTGATATGTTGTGCTAGGACTAGAACGGTTGGTCTGAAAAATGAATAATACCATCCTAAATTCCTATGCAATGTAATACAGGAACTCTCACTACCACCGGTCCACCACCACCACCTTCAAATGAGGACTCTAATTTCCCACCACCTAGAACCTCAAATTTTCACCAAATTTCCTTCATTTTCTCTGAAATACAGAAAATCCATCTTCATTCTACATTATAGATGCCTCTCGAATCCTCAAAATACCATCTTTAGCTCAATCAGAACCTCTTGTACTACAAATTCAGCTGCCTCTTACAATGGATGGGACGATTACAGGATCTGGGTTGATTCAGACGAGTTGGGTGAGTCCAATTACTTCAAAAAATTTCTGATTTCATCTGGTATTAATGATAAAAAGTATGTGTTTACGTGTATACTGGGTTTTGTATGTGCATTAGCCATTTCTAGGGTCAGAGTTTCATCGATCATTGTTTTTCCTGCTGCTGCTATTGTTTTTGCAATTGGGTTTTCTTTTGGATTTTCTAATGGAAAACCCCACAAAAATTTGAGTTTAAATGGGTCTAAAATAAGGGTCTATGCTGAAAAATTGAAAAGTTTAGTGGAGATTTTTGATGGGTTTGATGTTAAAATTAGTGATTTAAAGAATGTGATGAAGGATGCAATTGAGTATGAGAGGATTGATTTTGGTGATTTGGAGAGTTGTGTGAATGCAGTTGAGACAATGGATGGTTTGATTGCAAATGCCAGAAATTTAGTTGAAGATTGTGTTGGTGGTATATTGATTGAAGGACAAGAGAAGGGAAAGTATCCGAATCATAAGAACGGAAGGAGGAAGAAAGAAAATGGTGGTATAGGGTTTGATTTGTTTGGATTTATGGGGAATTTTTTTAGAAATAATGCTGGTGGATTGAAATCTAACAAAACTAATTTTGTCAAGAGGGAAAATTTGGCCAAGGATGTGGCTGACCGAGGCAAAGAGGACTCGCGAGCTGCTGAGGGAGCACCGGACACGGTGGTGCCTACTGTGGATGGTAGTGTTCCATATAGGGCAACTGTAATTAGTAATAGTAGAAAGAATAGGTTAGATGGTAAAGACCAAGAAACAAAGAGAAATTTGCGAAGAGGGAAAACGAATACAATGGATGCATATATGGATACTAAAGATCTTCACAATTCTAATGAGTATAATTACCAAAATGTAAGGTTCACTAGTGATCAGCGGTTCAGTTTTAATATGTCAGAATTTCAAAATTGGGTGTCAGAGGATAGTATGAGTAGAAATACAGAATTTGACTTTACAAAAGAACATCTGGAAAATGAGGGTTCCTTGAAGAATCAACAGATTTTCGAAAATCAAAATGGAGCTTATGAATCTTTTGAAGGAAGGGAAGATATTAACTTTGGCCGTTTCAGAGAGAGGTTGCATGAAGAAAGGATGAATGTAGATGATGAACTTTATTCGAGAAAGTATCGTTCTCAATCAAGAAATGACACAAGTTCCTTTTCTTCATCAGCAGTTTCAGACGATATGTTGTTTGATAAATGCCTCAGAAAAGCTACAGATCTTTTAAAACAAGCCAAGGAGTGTTTGAGGGCTAGAGATGATGAAATCCTCGCAGAGGAAATGCTTCAAGAGTCTGCCAAGTTGCTCGGTCAAGCTATTGCATTGAAACCTATGAGTTTACTGGCTATAGGTCAGTTGGGAAATACTTACCTTCTTCATGGAGAGCTGAAATTGAAGATTAGCAGAGAATTGAGAGCTCATCTGTCTAGTAGTAATGATTTTGATGTACAAAGGAGTAATTTATTCATTTTAGAGGAGAACAAAGATCGTATTGAAGATAGTCTCATTAGTGCATGTGAAGAGTGTGAATCACTTCTTGTTGAAGCAGGAAGGAAATATAGGATGGCTCTGTCAATTGATGGAAATGATGTGAGAGCCTTGTATAATTGGGGGCTTGCTCTTTCCTTCCGCGCACAACTGATTGCTGACGTTGGTCCAGTAAGAACTCTCTCATAAGTCACCCATTTTTGTGCATTTATCTCACTCCTATATCTATTTCTACAAGTTTGTTGTTCTATGATACACGGTTTATTTTTCTCCTTAAGATACTTATCTAGACACTCTACTCTGTATTCTGACAAGAGTATGACACTTGGGCTCCATAATTTTCACCTAAAATTACATATGTAGACTTATGTTAGCTATTGAATGAACTTGGAAATCCTGATTTGAACAAATGCAAACTAAAACCTTTCTTATTTGCTGAGGTGTGAATTACAACTTCTTGACACTTGGGCAATAGGTCCCAAAAATGGGATGATCAAATGATTCTAAGCTTCATATGTGTCACTTGCATGTCGGAAAGTCCATTGAACATGCATTTTGCTATTAGGTAGATCATTGATTATAGATTTTTGTATTCTATTAAGATTTTAATATGGGTTTGTCTTTTCTGCCCCAAATTCAGGAAGCAGCTCTTGATGCTGACAAGTTGTTCTTGGCTGCTATTGACAAATTTAATGCTATGATGTCGAGAAGCAATGACTATGCTCCAGAAGGTAAGCAAAGGTTCTGCTTCCTTTATGTAGATCTTGGAGCCTCTCAAGTGTGAGTCTCTGCATGTTTGTGTGATTTATATATGTTTACACGCCGTATGCATGTATATATTAGTTTTCATCTTTTCTTTGTTATTGTTATTGTTCAGTCACAATGTTATTATTATTATGTTTTTTGAGTTCTATATGTTATTAGTCACAATGTGTGTGGATTATGCAGGTGAGACATCTAGATGGGCTCCTAATTACCACCTCTTAATATATTTAATTATTATTTTTGTGACGTGTGCTATGTTTGTGTTTGTAAAGTTAAACTTGAAGATCATAATAGTGTCTATGATTGTCATAACTTATAAGTTAGAGCGTTTCTTACTTATTGAATAATTAGATTATGATTGACTTAAACATGTTCTCTTTCGTGCATCTCTGTTAGTCTTTGGTAGTGTTGGCATTCTGCACATTCATGCTGCTGCGATTGCTCTTAGGCGACTGATGCTCAAGAAGTGAGAATCAACCAGTCAAAAAACTAGATGACCTCTTTAGTGTGATGGGTACTTCTGTTGCTGGGGTTTTTGAATTCTTTAGTCTCGTTTCAAGATTGCTTTTGAAGATAATTTTGAAAACTTTCATGACAATGTTTCCTGTGGGGCTTTGACACTAATTAGGCAACCTCTGCCAACAAGCTTATAATGTTACGTTCAAATTCTGTGAGGTTTGGGTGAATGTTCGTCTCAAATTACCAAGAACTTTTATTTACATAATAATTCTAAGTTTCTATTTATTTTACAAAAACGCTGCAGCTCTGTTCAGATGGGGTATGGCCTTGCAGCAAAGGTCTCGCTTGCGATCAGACAACATTAGGGACAAGGTGAAGCTATTACAGCAAGCTAAGAGGCTTTATGAGGATGCTGTCAATATGGGGTCTAATAATCTCCAAGTAAGAAAAGCCTTATCTTCATGCATATCTGAGATCAATTTTACTGACAAGTGATCTTCGTTCAGATCACAAGCCAGTAGTTAGTGTTGAGCTATAGCATCTTTTACCACACTCCCATGAGTCTCGTCTGCCAAGACCTCCATACTTCTTTCCCATTCTTCAATTCCAGTCGGTATTTGTCGATATCTCCATGCTAGCATGGTATGATGCTAGAGATATACATCATATACACATAAACATAGGTAACAAGTATACTGTAGAATAAGATGGACATATCTTGAGCACTACTACTGCTGGACAAATCAAGTTCTGGCTGCTGCTCGAGCCTCGAGATAATTTAATTACTCCATAACAGGATTTCTTTTGTGGAGAATAATTTTTTGGTTAAATATTGTTATAGCAAACTGTATTTATGATGGAGAACAGTGAGTAAACATTTTGCCAGATCTTGCAAGTAAACATTGCACTGGTTTGTTATAAGATGCTCGTTACTTTAAAACTATACATAGATCTTTAGTTTGTTACATTATAGATTATCCAATTTAAATCACTCTTCTTTTTCCGATGAACTGTTTAGTAGCTGAGTAGCTCTATCAAATGTCAATTACACCATTTTCTTTTATCTTAAGCTCCAAAGGGTCTTGATGCAGACAGTATCTATCTGATATCTGAGTGTCAGCTTGGTATACACTATTGTCTATTTTTAAGTACATCTAATTACTATATTACTAGGGAGAAATTTTGGCTCTCCATTTGTTCCTCAATATTTGCCTCATAAGCCGCCTCGACTTTCAATCTTTAACATGTGAAGCTAGATGTAAAACTCGAAAGGATAAACTAACAAGGAACCAATCAACCAAGACAATTTTTAAGGGACGGATTTGTGTGTATTACTACTCATAAAAATATCTATGAATTGGATGAATCATGAATGTGTGATTAAAACACTGCTTCTGGTGAATCTGATAAATGAAAGAAAAAGACTGAGATGTATTTAGGAAGATCTCGAATTTTCTGGGATAAATGTTCTAGGAAGATCTCGAATTTTCTGGGATAAATGTTTAGCTGTAAATGGGTTTTTTTGTTGAAGATGACAATTCAGTTTTGTACTATTGTCAATCAGTTACGAGTATGACAGAAACCTAACAAAGAAAACGAGAGTTCAATATTAACTCAAATATTGAAGATGAAGTTAGAAAGGAGAATGACATTTTGAGTTACTTCTACAATGTTAGAAAGGAGGATGACATTTGGAGTTACCTCTAAAATGACGACAAAAGCTTTTACGGATGAACTCCTCAACAGCAACAGCACAATATCATAATCATATCGTACTTAATTCGAACAAATAATAATCAAACAATATTAATAGTACAATAAATCTCGTTGTCATAATATGACAGGATTAACGGTTGATAAGTCGTAATGAAAATCAGGAAAAGGAATTAACACGATCCCGGAAAACTTTTAACATACTAGTAAAAGTGACAATGCCGATCAAGCTATAATCTTCTTCGACAACCCAAACGTGATTCAAACGATGTGACAATGCCTGTATCATCACCGCAATCAAAGAGCTCCCAGGATGGCAAACAATGGGCTCAGTTCCCCTAGCAAATCGTGCAGAATTTGATCTGGAGCGCATGCTTTTTACAACAGCTTCATCATCAGATGAGGAAGAAGACGTTGAACTTAAACAGGAAGAAACTGACAATGTCGAATGATCATCTTCTAAGAGCTCCAAGAATCCATCTAATTTCTTCTCTTCCAACCTTGCCTTCACCAACTGAATCAGATCTTCTGGCGCACCACCATAGTCAATGTAAGCCATCAGATCGCCAGCTGAAAGGGTCGCAACTGCAGGAGCAACAGTCTCGTCACAGCAAGCGAGAGTATAAAGTGAAATCTCACCAACCAATCTACCCTCGTCGTCTACCACTGCCACAGCAGTTTGACCGGAGAGTGAGTTGTTGATTGCTCTGAGGGCAGACAAGGCTGGATCGTCGTAATGTACAGATGGGATTTTCTCCTCAATTATGTTGACAGATTGGATTGAGTTAAATGGGATGGGAGAGAAGTGGTTGATGGAATTGAAGATGAAGCGAATTATATCTTCTTGGGTGATCCAACAGTATGTGCGGCCCACAGAAGGTTTCTGAGAAAGCTTCTGCCTTGGGCTGCCAGAGTTGCGGCTCTTCCTTGGAACTATGAGACTCTGAGCTCCTTCGAGGATGCAATCTACAGCATCAAGAATACTGCAAGTTCAAAGGATAAACAAGAGCAATGTCAGGATAAAAATTCTGTGCATACAGGTATAAACATGGTGATCCAGGAGAAATTTGCTGAATTTCATCTTCACAATTAGAGGCTTGGAATAATTTAGCAGATTAGTACAATATTTCAAAGGATGATAACTGGTCCCTCCATCCGAAATAATTGTCACACTGTCCCAATTGATCATAATTTTAAAGGTTTACTTGTAAGGGTTCAATATACAATTTGTAATAGTTGTGTAGGTGTGTCCCTTCCCACGGTATACTCCTCACTTATTCCAAGTTCGGGTGTCATGGGAATCCAAGATCCGACAAGTGATATAAATCTATGAAATATCGCCTTAATTTTCAAGAAATTGGAAAATTGTACAAGTGACAATTACTTCAGGACAGATGGAGCAATTGAAATTCAAGTACTACGAGAAAAATGCAAGAAGACGTACTTGAACCAATGTAGGATGCACCACCAGACTTTCATAAACTAGCCTGATGGCTTCTCTCATATTTGGTTACTATCTGATGGAAATGAAGAGGAAAACTCCCATTAAAGCTAGCATAAATCTTCCATACAAACAGATGAAATGAAATTTTGTTTTTCACTGCCACAAATGTTGCAAAATTTCAAATCATACATCAAAGAATTGTCTTCTTCTGGTATGATACACAGCTGTCATTATGGACTTTTTATGAAATTTGGGAGACAGTTGACAGGGAACATGATGCATTCATGTTCATAAGACAAGGTCACTGATTTTTTTGAGATTGCATGTCCTTTTTTCTTTTGTGTTCCATCATGTGAACTTTATTTTTTGTGGTACCACATCCAAAATTACAATATTTATCACTAATTTGACCCAAAAGTCACCAAAAAGCGAACCAAACAACAATAATTCAAATTGTGATAATTTTGACCCAAAAAAGCCTTGAAAAGCCAATTAAAAGATGTACAACAAGTATTAAAGGCTGAACTTGATCCAATGATCCCCCATCACTTATAATAAGATTATAATAAGTGGGTGTACCTAGAGTGTAGGTACACTCTATCGTAAATCTAAATTAGTGTCGTAATATTTTTTAGTCTAAATAAGTGTCGTAATAACTTCGAATCTAAATAGCTCTTTAAAAACATATACAATCACTAAAATTAATAGGAGAACATCGAAATTAAAAAGTTTTTTTAAATATGAACCTAACTTGCACTAAAGCTAAAAAGGACATTTATTTAGAACAACAAATCTTCTATGTGATCCATTGCATGCTTGCACATAAAAGTTATATAACCCATCAAATCACTATCAATTAGGTCTAAAGCTACTTTGATAACCCCATTTTAACCCTACAATCTAATAAGGTAACTGTGTCACATATTTTGTAACTATGCTGAAATAAATATTTAACAAGAGAAGAAAATTAGGATCTGACCTGAACTGAAAATAAAATAAACGTATGAGAATAGGCCTACGTCCATAAAAGGCCTAGTCAATTATCCCGTCTAATAATCGACTAACTATTCCAAATTCACCAATAAATCTCAAAATACCAATCAATTTACAATTGTAATCAATTTCAACAAGAAAATATAGGTCTCGATGTGTAAAATCAAACTAGTTCACATTTTTCAAATTAGTGATACGGAGTAGCTAGATCAAATATTAAATCACAAATCGACCATCGTGATTTTGTCGTGCATTCTTAAATCAATACGAGTATTAATTTATGAAATATATTACTGTGATTTTTTTATGTATGCGGTAAATTATATCAAGATCACACAAAATTAAGAGTGATCAATGTTATATACAAGTACAACGCATTAAATAATTATTCATAATACTTCGAAAAAGCAAACGCATCGCATTAAATCTAACATCGTAATTACAAAACTTAATCACCAACAAATTCATTTCTTAGCAAATCTCAAAACAAAAATCACAAATCAATTAAAAAAACAATTTAACAAGAGAATTAGAATGCAAAATACCTAGATGTAGGATCCAATTGCTTGACGAGAGGAGGACCGTCAGGAAGAAGAACAGAAACCGGAGAAATCAAAGCAACAAAAGGAGTCGAGATATTCTCTTCCTTACAAAGAAAACACAAAACATCAACAATCGAAATCTTGCCAATGCACTTGGAAGCTTCTCCGGCGACCGGAGAAGACCAAACGCTGAGCGAAGGATCGCCGGAAGATCGCCGGAAAAGTGAAAGAGCGTCGGCGACGGTGGCGGAGGCAGGGAGAGGCCTCAGCGGCGGCTTCCCGAGACAGAGGTCAGATATTTCATTAGAGAATAGTTGTACTGCCATACACTACAGAAGAGAGAGAAAGTGAGAGGAGAGAGAAAGCTTGAAGAAAGGATTAATGGCGGAAATGAAGCTTGGAGATGAAATTTTTTTTGTTTTTTTTAGAGGATTTGAGAATTTAGAGGAGAAATGAAGAAGGATATTTATAAAGGGGGGTTTGGGTTTTTTTGTCACAGGGTGGACGACAGGTACGTACTACGGTCATCAAAGGTGTGGGCCCTTCTTCTTGTAAACATTTTTTTTGGGCTATTTTTTTAAAATTATTTTTAACTATTGTTTAATTTAATTAATTAATGTACTAATGTGTTGTGTTCATGCTAATCACCTTCGTTTTACTTGTAAGTTTTGGAAATGGTAATAGTGTTATACGGAGTAGACGCGTTTTCGATCAAGGTTTTATTGCTAGGTTTGTTCTTTTAATATTTTAATCTTGAAACTGAAATCCAATTGATTAAAATTAAATAATTTATGATTATAAGTCAGATTGATTTGAACGGGTTTGGTTCTCTTTTCGACTTTTTTCTATGATCTAGTCTTGATGAAAGTATGTATGAACTTGTTTTTTTTTTTTTTAATTATTAACTTTAGTTTGGCCTTTTATTGTTTGGCAACCTACTTATTGTATATCAAATCATTTGGCATAGAAGTATAAAATTATAAAAATACAAGAGAGATATATAAGCGTGTGTAATAAAAATATAAAATTGGTGAGTGGGATAAAGATAGAAATGCAGAGGATAAGTAAAATCCTAAGTTTGATATGAGTTAAGAATGAAAATGAGATAAGTAGCAAAGTTACTAATACACCATATTTAATGCATTCCTTCTTTCTTTCTTCCTTTACTTTTCATTAAAGGCATATAAGACTTTTTATTCACAATCCATTTCCCTCCATATAACATACATCACCTCTCCACAAGTATAGGATCTATGAGATGACGAGGGGATTATCTCATTATCCAGATCCAACCTATAATCCCCATTATTCGATCCCTCTAAACAAACATTATAAACCTATCCATTTTCTTTTTATATCCCCATAAATAAACACATATTACCTCTTATGTGTATTCAAATACCCTAAGAAGGAAAGAAAAGAGGGAGTGCCAATGGTACAAGCCATGCATGCTTAGGGTGAGTTTATCCCCAGACTCGGACCCAAACTTCAGACTCTGCCACATCAGCTTTCCACTTACTTTAAAATACTTATATATTATTCAGATTCATACAAGACTTTCTTCAAATTTACACATTATCTCAAGACTCACTCCAAACTCATTTAATCCTTTTCAAAATATTTTTATTTTTTTGTAAAATATCTTTTTTTATTTTTTAAAAATTATTGTAAATTGTTGGTTGGTGAGGTGGCTAATTTTCATTGGCCTTGTAAAGTCTTGACATGGGTTTGGATTTCCAAACTCCATGTAAGACTCACATGAGTCTTAGATGAGTTTATTGCAAGAATCTTGAGTAAGACTCATGTTGAGACTTTGCTCAAAACTTGCAATAAACTTACCCGTTATGTTTAAGCTCACTCCTTCATGTCACACAAAAATTTTATATGTAAAGTCCAAAACCAGGCCATGTGCCACTATGTCGTACTCATAGTTTTTTTTTTTTTTTTTTTTTTTAATAAAGGTAATCATGTAATTATATGTAAAATAAATTTTACTTATGAATAGTCTGTTCACACTTACTGAACTGAACTGAACTGATTGGTGTTGAATTAAAATGAACTGAACTGAGCCGAAATGAATATTTTATGAGAGAAGGAAATTAAGAGTTGAATTGAAGTGAAATTAAGCTAAAGTAAACCGACCTAAAATACCATTTAATTTTTTTTTATGTGTGTACTTGTAATGATGTGCCACTAAATTTTTACTCCATAGTAAATTTTTATAATCAAATTAAAATAGTTTTTTTTTAATTTTTTTTAATTAAAATAGTGTTTGTGTACTAATGACCATGAAAAAGCAAATAATCCGTAGTAAAATTAGTGTGTAATGGATGAATCACACAAAAGGATAAGAATCATAAGATAGATAAGGCAAAAAGTTTAAGGATAAGTCACTGCTTGAAACCCATGGCCGTAACAGCACGTACACTGTGAAGTACGCTGCCCTCATCCCTAGTTCCGAATTCCGATGTCTGATAGCTCGTCAAAATTGTGCATGTTGTTTGATAATTATGTGCGAGTAGTTGATGTATTTTTTCCAAGTTATTAATTATATTGTTTTATTTTAAATACTCGTATATAATATTATTATTAATATTTTTAATTTATAAATATTTTAGTTTTATTTAAATAATTTTTATTCTTATTTATAAATTTTCTATATATTTATATTGGATAAAATATTTTAAAAATCATATTTACATTATAGATATTAGAATATACTAATTGTGTTCACCCTTTATAGTGAGAAAAAATGAATCGCTTATACTATTTATTATTAAAATAATATAATGGTCATTAATATACTATTTCATTTGTTAAATGTAGCTCATTAATCTATTTACATACCCCCTAAGGCCTTAACCCCTTGATCTTAGACCATTATCTTAATTACTTCTTTGTCAAAAAAAATCTTAATTACTTCGTATATTTTAATATTGACCAATATATTGATATTATGAGTATAATCCAAGTTATTTTGATCTCACATCTCCCCATCATTTTATACAAATGTTGTATTATTGTTGATTGGAGGAGAGAAAAGGATGAGTTATAATATTAGTCATTTACCAAAAAAAATTTAAAACATTAGTAATTTAATTAGCTTAATAATGCAAATTAGTACGAAGATGCGGTAGAGACTAGAGCGTGGCATGTTTCGGTCCAGAAAGCAAGCTTGACCATATTTTATAATTTGTTTTGGATCAAGCAGAAATATTGAATTGAATTGGGCCGACATTTTCAATTCTAGGTTGAATGAGGCATTATTATTTATTATCACATGTTAGTTTTTACCCTTATTGTAGCATGGCTGCGCATGGTGACAGAAGCGATTAAACAAGGCGATCCCATACATTTTTCCACGTTTGAAAATGTATAACGTATACGTACCCTTCTTCCGTCTCAAAATAAAATTAAATACGAATAATTAAAAACAACAGTTAAAGCGCCAAGAGTTGAAATTTGATTGAGTAGTGTGAACGGATTGTGTTATTATGAATAATAATAATAACGTTCGTTACTCATTTTATCTTTGTTGATTTAATCCTTAATAATAAAGTAAAATCTCAAACCCGTCAATTATTTCACAATCACTATTGATAACTACGTGCATGTGTTTTGTATATCTTAGTAGAATATGACCCATTTGATTGTAGGAAATTAAAGATTGTAAGATGCTCAGAGACACCAAATTAAGTATGAGATGATACAATTGTTAGCCAATTGCTAACTGGATTACCAGCTTCTCATTTTCTCAAGCAAAAATATGTTAAGTTATGAGTAGCAGAGTAGGACATATCCATGCTATTTACTAGTATGTTATTTTTGTTCGGTCAAAACTTGAAAATTTAAGCTTATTTTATGCTTCTATTAATCATACTATTCACTTAGGGCCTTCTGATTTTTGTTCGGTCAAAACTTGAAAATTTAAGCTTATTTGTACTTCTATTAATCATACTATTCACTTAATGCCTTCTGGTACTGAGAACCACAATACCAAGTGTGCACTAAGGGTCTGTTCACTTTAGTTTAATTTCAGTTTAATTTAATTCAGCTCTAATCAGTTCAGTTCAGTTCAATATATAAATGTGATTAGGTCAATTCATGTTTTTTTAGCTCATCTAACCATGTTATACTTGCTCATTCGAAGGATTATAATTAAATAATGTGAAAAATAGAAACGTCTTAATCTGAATATAAGATAATAAAATTTGTATATTATCGTTTTTAAGGAATTAGCTAACAACTACCCATTTTTTACAAAGGTTTGTGAACCACTGCCCACAAACGGATTCTGTCTAATTACACCGTTTGTGGGCCCACCTTTTCGCTTCCCACCCCCATTAACCAACCCCGTTCCCAACCTAATTACCCCCCTTCCCCAACCACCTCTTCTTGCCCTTTTATTATTTCCCCAAATACAGCTAACCTACCAAGGGGTATCATTTAGGGTTTAGGGTGGGAAGGGGGTTAATGGATATAAATCTAGATACAAGGTTAATTTTGTATGGATGACTGCAGTATGTATCCCACCAAATACAAAAAATGCCGTTAACCATTGCATTCTTAATCTCATCTAAGGACTATTCAATTATTCATAGTGGATTGACTTGTGTGAGAACACAAAATCATCCAATCAAACTAATGGTCGTTAATTAGAACACATTTGGCACTTTGATCAATCACATTTGTAAGCTTAGAATTGTAATGTGTCTTGTAGTATGAGCACGGTCCATGGAATTTTGTCGAATGGGACATAATAAATTGGCAAATATGGCCAATAAAATCGGCCCCTTGTTATTTATGTAATTTGTTTGGTGACGAGTGACCACCATTTAAAGTGGTTGATACTAGTTGTAGTCTTGTAGTATTAGACTGATAGCTAGTGGCCTACTATTGAATAACAAATTCAATGGTGATAATGTAAAAAGGGTGGCTCTTAGAAATATCACAAATTGTAACACGAAGTATGCGACTGCTCATTTAATAAACGCTACCTTATCTTAATACTCCCTCCGTCCCTAAATTACATTCCTCTTTTTCTCTATTATGTGAGGAATAAATGCTAGAAAGAAGAATGTAATTTAGGGACGGAGGAAGTACGAAATATTCAGTATCAATTTTAAAAAAATACTTATAAGACTATTGACAAATTAGTGGAATGTCTAATTATCTACGATAGATCGTGATGTATGTATAAAAATTATGTGTTAAGTATTGAACTGCACGAATAAAAGTGGATGATTTTTATGCGTTACATAAGTACATGCATTAGGAATTTAGGATGCCTAACAATATAATGATATGATATTTGTGGAAATTTTGCAAATCTATAGTGGAACGATTATTGCGTTCCTTCAAAATTGACTGCACGGTCTGCGGCTGCCTGCACGGCTGCACCCCATATTTTTAATCCGTGGGGACAAGCGGACAACTGATTCCAATTTGGCA